GTGTGTGTGTGTGTGTGTGTGTGTGACTATGGATCAGATCAAGCCGCATGCTTGAAGGCAAATACTCCACCACTTGACACATTCTTTCAAGCCTTTGTGTTTGTATTCTTCTCCACCCACCCCCCAGTACCAGGGTTTGGACTCAGGGCCTTGACCTTGCTTTGCTTTAGCTTGCCTGCTTATCTAGTGTTCTAACACCTGAGCCATGTCTCCAACCCAGCTTTCTGCTGGTTATTTTGGATTTGGAGTCTTGTAGACTTTACTGCTTGGACTGGCTTTGAACTATACTCCTCCAGATCTCAGTCTCCTATGTAGCTGTGATTACAGGCATGCCCTACCATGCCTGGCTGTTATTCTTGGAGGAATACCTTGCTTTATGGACACTTTATGACCATATCAAGAAATATATTACAGTAGGATTTTTTTTAGTTTTTTTACTATAAGTTTTAGTTAAGAATTTTTAATTCTTCACAATGATTCTTTTCATGGTCCCGGTGCTGGAAATACAGTAGGATTTATATCAGTGAGCCTCACATAAAATAACAACCTGGAAGTTGTTACATTTTTGCAAAAGTGATCGATGCAGGCCCCCAAATCTCCCATTTGCAAGCAATCTGGAGGGATATGAGGCGGGAAGTAAAAATGTCTCAATACAGGCTAGGCAGGCCTGGGTCCCTCCCTCAGCCTTCTCACTCGGCTACCCTACAGGCCCTAGGGCTGTCTGCTGCAAGAATACGAGGGCTGGTCTCTAGATGACGGTGTTGGTTTACCCCTGCCTCCTTTAGCCCTGGGATTGATGTCACCACTGAGCTGGACAGCTGGATTGACAAGTTTTGCCTGGATGCTGATGTGTTCGTGCTGGTGGCCAACTCAGAGTCCACGCTCATGCAGACGGTAACTCATTACTTACCTCCCCCGGACCTGGCGGGCCTCGGCTGGGCAGTGGCTGAAGGAGCCTTGGTTGGGCAGAGGCTGGCGGGCCTAGGCTGGCAGGGCCTCTCTTTTTTTTTTGTTTTGTTTTGGGTCTGGTCATGGGGCCTGAACTCTGGGCCTGGGCGCTGTCCCTCAGCTCTTCAGCTCAAGGCTAGCTCTCTACCACTTGAGCCACAACGCCGCTTCTGGCTTTTTTTCTTTTTTCTTATGTGGTGCTGAGGAATCGAACCCAGGGCCTCATGCATGCAAGGCAAGCGCTCTACCACTGAGCCACCTTCCCAGCCCCCGCATGACTCTTATCTCCAATGAAATACCAAAAAGCTGAAAGTGGAGTTGTGGCTCCACTTGAACACAAAATTTCAGGGACAGAATCTAAGCCCCAAGATTGGCAAAAAAAAGGGGGGGGCAAGAGACACATAAATAAGAAACAATAAACAAAATGTTAGTAGTGCTTATTACAAAATGTCAGCTATGAGCCAGGCACCAGTAGTTCAAGCCTGTAATCCTAGCTACTCAGGAGGGTGAGATCTAAGGTTCACAGTTCAAAGCCAGCCTGGGCAGAACCGTTCATGAGACTCTTATTTCCAATTAACCACCAGAAAACCGGAAGTGGCACTGTGGCACAAGTGGTAGAGCGCTCACCTTGAGATGAAGAGCTCAGGGACAGCGCCCAGGCCCAGAGTTCAAGCCCCATAATAGACAAAAAAAAAAAAAAAGGCTACTATGGGCTGGATGCTGGTAGTCTATAATCCTAGTTACTTAGGAGGCTGAATGAAATCTGAGGATAGTGATTTAAAGTCAGCATGGGCAGACAAATCTGAGAGACTCTTACCTCCAAATGACCAGTAAAAAGTCAGAAGTGGATCTGTGGCTCAAGTGGTAGAGTGCCAGCCTTGCATGGAAAAGGCCAAGTGAGAGTGGGAGGCGCTGAGTTCAAGCCCCACCCCCTCACAAATGGTTGCCATGTTGTTGTTGTCATTGGTTTTCCTTTAGTTTCTACAGTGCACATAGCTCTGCTAAAAGAGACCAATACTAATCCTGTTTGGAATTAGGGTCACTGGGTTCCGGGCAGCAGTGACCAGGAAGATGCCACTGGGTGGTGTCACTTTGTTTTCACTGTTTGCTGCTGCTTCTCACATGGATGGTGAATGGGAGAGGTCAGGGCTTCTCTATATGTTACTTGCAATTCCTGCTCGTCCCTTTGTGAGGTGCTGGGCACTACTGAACAGTCAAGGAATTGCCAACACTAGGGCTGAATTCAGGGCTTCGGTTCCAGACTCCTGTGTGGCCACAAGTGTGACAGGAAGAGCGTCCTGGGACCTCCTTGTGACACACTGGGTCTTACCTGAGTGAGTCTTGGAGGGCCCTGTGTTCTTGGTGGAGCCAGAGCCAGTCCTGGTTCTTCCTTGCACCACTGATGTACCCCTAGAAAAGCCCCATGCAAAGCAGGAGATTCTGTGCGCCTCACATGGTCTCCCCTTGCAGCGCGATGTCCCTGCTCTTCTCGCGGTGCAACTCCATCGTCACGGTCAAGAAAGACAAGAGACACATGGCTGAGGTGAATGCGTCCCCACTCAAGCACTTTGTCACTGCCAAGAAGAAGATCAATGGCATCTTTGAGCAGCTGGGAGCCTACATCCAGGAGAGTGCCACCTTCCTCGAAGGTGAGCCGGCCACCTGCCAGGCTAGGCCTACTTTGAGCCTTTGGGGAGCTCATGCTTGGGCAGCTTGTCACCCTTAGCCATGCTCTGTGCTTGGAATCCTGTGAACTGGGCTCCAGAAGATTGGGCCAGGAGGACAGAAGTACAGCTTAAGAATTAAGATTTCCAGGGCTGGGAAGGTGGCTTAGTGGTAGAGTGCTTGCCTCTCATGCATGATGTCCTGGGTTCCATTCCTCAGCACCACATAAGCAGAAAAAGGCTGAAAGTGGCTCTGTGACTCAAATGGTAGAATGCTAGCCTTGAACTGAAGAGCTGAGGGACAGTGACTAGGCCCCGAGTTCAGGCCCCATGACTGACAAAAAAAAAATAAAGGAAGAAGATTTCCATGTATTTTCTTTACTTTAATCATGAGAGGCATGTGAATCCTGTTTCTATCTGGAAGGCAAGCAGATCCATATTTGAGAGCTGAAACCTTGGGAGTGACCAAGCTGGCTGTATCCAGGTGTCTCCTCCTCCATGCCTGTGATGTCTCCTTAGCTGCCTTAATTCCAAGTACTTCGAGTGTTGGTTATCCCAGGCAGGCAGGGCGCCCTCTCTGCTATTTTTAGATTGTTGACAGAACTACAAATAGGAAGCTCATGTCCCTGTGCCTTTCCTACTCGTTACTAATTTGAGCCCAGTCTGTCATCCCTGCCCTATCAGCAATGAGGGCCTGTCTTCCGCCAAAGCCTCTTGATTTCTCATTGCCTTACATGGCCAGGCTGCTGCATGAGGCTCCTTGGAAGAATGAGAGGGGCCCAGTTTCAGTCACCAGTTGGTATCCTGCCCTCTCTATGGGGCTTGATTTAATAGAACGTATCCCCTAAGTATCTGTTTACTTTTAGTGGTATATAGTTTGAGGTTGAATGAGCATTAGCTGTGCTCTGCGTGGCCCTGTGCCAGGCTTAGGTATGCAGCGTGGGCCAGCTAGGCTTCCAGCCTCCCAAAGCCCAGCCCAACCTCTGTGAGGGCCTGCGTTACTCCCTCAGATGGCACTGTGGACAAAAAGGCATGCATCATCATTTCCCTCTAGGACATTCTGAGGTCCTTGCTGATTGGTCACAGGGAGGAAAAGGGCAGAGCCATCCTGAGTTGCATTTGCGGTTGCTCCAAGGAGGGGAAGAGAGGCAAGGTCATCCTTCCCACCTGGGCAGAAAGTGAGAGTGGGTCACCTGCTGGTTCTTGCTCTCTGTGCGGTCACATGCCTGGCATCTGGCCTCCTCCCAGGGGCATTGCGAAGGCTGGGCTCATGTGCCCGCTTGTGTATGGAAGAAGTGTTGTCAGGCTGGGCACTGGATTGGCCACTTCCTTTCATGTCACTAGCTCCAGGGGAAGCTCACTGGCTTCTCCCACATGCCCCCTCACATCATGCTCTGCACGCCTGAAGAATGTTCTCAAGCCTGGGACCTGCCAGCCTGGTGTTTGGGAGTGTTCTCAGATGAAGCCTCGCTGATGGAAGTGCTCAGTGGGGCGGGCTAGGACCTTGCCTGGGGCTTGCTCCTGTAAGGGTTCCCTAGCTGTCTCCCTGTGAGGGCACTGGGGAAGACAGGGCAGTGAGCCACACACCCATTCACGGAGCTGCACTTTCCTGGGTGCAGAGATGGCTCGTTCAGCCCTTGTGGAGTGGACGGTGCACACAGGCGAGCTATGCCAAGGCAAGTACTAGATGGGAGAAGAGAAGTACACTGTGCTGTGGGTGCACCGGCAAGGCGGGCCTACCCTACACAGGTGGGGTGGAGTCAGGGAGGGGTGTCTGGGCTCCAGGGCCCTGAGGCCAAGTGGGAATGAGCACAACTGCTTCAAGGTCAAGGCCCAGAGGGTGAGGAGGCTGGCAGGTGTGGGGTGAGAGTGTGAGGAGTGAGGCCGGGTGGAGAGGAAAGTGGTTGGGAGAGGCTAGCAGGGCCCCGTCAGGAAAGACATGGTGAAGTGACACAGAACGTTTAGGAGCTCAGACTCCACAGCAAGGGTGCCTGGTTCAAATCCTGCCTCTGCCAGTGACAGACTATACCATGAACATAACAAGACCATGTTTGACACAAGAGTGGGGTGCTCAGTAAAGGGGCAGCTCACGCTCCACCACTCAGACCCGTCGCTGGGCCTTTGAGTTCTGTGGATGAGGAAAACAAGACCTGCAGACACTCACTTTCCTGGTGTCACAGAGCTAGGAGGCGGTCACCGCCATCGTGGGATTCCAGTCAGGCTATTCCCCAGCCCTGTCCATAGCTGGCCACAACACGGCCGCAGTTGAGAGCAGAGCTTCAGCACATGACAGCAGGAGCCACAGAGGTGGACTTGGGATTCAGGTGAGCGAGGTTGCCACTCTGGCCTCTCCAGGCTTGTGATTGTGGAACTGCTGTGACGTCCTGGTGACCCGTTTTCATCTCTGCCTCCAGATACCTACAGGAATGCAGAACTGGATCCGGTGACCACAGAGGAGCAGGTGCTGGACGTCAAAGGCTACCTGTCCAAAGTGAGGGGCATCAGTGAGGTGCTGGCCCGGCGGCACATGAAAGTGGCTTTCTTTGGTCGGTGAGTCCTTGAAGAGTCCTTCCTGGCTGGAAGGGTGGGAACAGCACAGGGGCGGGAGGCCCTCTGTGTGGCAGGGAAGGCCCTTGTACATGGTTGGTGAGAATACAAGTTAATCCCGCCATTATGGAAATCAGGATGATGCAGCCTTCCAAGGCTGAACTGCCACATGATCCAGCTGAACCACTCCTGGGCATTTATCTGAAGGAATCAGTCAGAATACAGTAGAAGCACCCACACACTTACATTTATTATATCCCTTTTCACAGTAGCCAGAATATGAAAACCAACTGTGACCCATCAACAGATGAATGGATATAGAGAAGGTGGTGTATGTGTGTATGTATGCATAATGGAATATTAGTCAGCCATAAAGAATAAAATGCTTAGCCAGGTGCCAGTGGCTCACTCCTGTAATCCTAGCCACTCAGGAGGTTGACATGTGAGGATCACGGTTCAAAGCCAGCCCGGGCAGAAAAGTCCGTGAGACTCTTATCTCCAATAAACCACTTGAAAACTACAAGTGGCCCTGTGGCTCAAGTGGTAGAGTGCTTGCCTTGAGCTGACAAGTGCAGGGACAGCGCTCAAGCCCAGAGTTCAAGCCCCATGACCTACAAAAAAAAAAAAGAAAGAATAAAATGGTGTGCTTAGCAAGAAGATGTATCATCATGTTAGGAGAAATAAGCCAGCCATGCATTGGTGGCTCATACCTGTAGGTAATTGGGAGGCTGAGACCTAGCAGAAAAGTCCTAAAAAAATACTGGGCTCCAGGCATGGCTTATGTGGTAACTATTAGCTGTCAGCAAGAACTGATGGAAACTGTGAAGCCCTGAATTCAAACCTGGTACCAACATGTGAGAGTGAGAGAAAAAGAAAGAGGGAGAGGGAGAGAGAAAGTGAGTGAGATAAGCCAGACTCAGAAAGACAATTGCATGCTTTATTTTACATATGGAATCTAATTAACAGAAACAAAAAAAAACGGGGCTGGGAAGGTGGCTCAGTGGTAAGAGCGCTTGCCTTGCATGCATGAGGCTCTGGGTTCAATTCCTCAGCACCACATAAGCAGAAAAAGCCAGAAGTGGTGCTGTGGCTCAAGTGGTAGAGAGCTAACCTTGAGCTGAAGTGCTGAGGGACAGTGCCCAGGCCCAGAGTTCAAGCCCTATGACCGACCAAAAAAATAAAAAGTAGGAATGTAGCTTACTGGTAGAGTGTTTACCTAGCATGCATAAAGCCCTGGGTTTAATTCCTCAGTACCACGTAAACAGAAAAAGCCAGAAGTAGCGCTCTGGCTCAAATGGTAGAGTGCTAGCCTTGAGAAAAGAAGCTCAGGAACAGTGCCCAGGCCCTGAGTTCAAGCCCCAGGACTGGCAAAAACAAAAAAGAGAGAGAGAGAGAGAAGTGTAGTTTTCATACTGGAAAGAGGCAGAAGTAGGACCATGAGACAGAGGATCATGAGTTCCAAGCCAACATGGCTACTCAGTGAAATGCTGTTTCAAAACAAAAAGAAAGACATAGTAGCTCCTTGAGAGGCTGAGATTTGAGGATTCCAGTTCAGAGCCAGCCCCAACAACCATCCACTAGAGTCTTATCTCCAGTTGGCCACCAAAAGCTGGAACTGGAGATGTGGCTCAAATGGTAGAGCACTAGCTTTGAGTGAAAAAGGTAAGCAAGAGTGTGAGGCCCTGGGTTTAATTTCCAGTGGCAGCATATGTGCATGCGTACACACACATACCACATAAAGCAGAAGGGGAACTATTTAGGAAAAGAAAGGCAGGAGTGGAAGGACAGAGAGAGGTCAGAGAAGGGTAACAGCGTGGTGACTATGATCAAAGCCCATTTTCTTCATATATAAATGATAGTGAAACCCAGTATTTTGTATCATTAGTATACAATAAAAAGGAAAAAAGAGTTTTGACTAGTGTAGATTCCTCGTATAAGTAGAATCATATAGTATTTAGTTGTCTTTGTGTAAGTGGCTCACAGTTCACCATGTGGTAGGTAGCATGTATCAGAATTTCCTTCCTTTGGGAGCGTGGCTCCAAACCAGGTACTGTTCATCTGCCATCCATAGACACCTGGCCATAAAGAATAGTGCTGGTGTGAATGTGCATCCATGCCCCTCTGGCACCCACGTCCGCTCCCTTGCCTCTGTGCACCTGTGGAGTTGCTAGGCTCATCTGGGAACTCTGTCCTACTTTGTTAACCCTGCATGGTTTTGCACGGCAGCTGCTGCACTGACCGTCCATACCAGCGGTGTTCAGGTTTCCGTTCCTCCACATCCTTGCCAGGGCTGGTGGTTTTCTGTTTAGTTTAGTTTAGTGCTGTTACTGGATCCTGCTTGAACTCCAGGCTCCTTGTTCTTGCTTGGCTTTTTCACTTATGGCTGGTGTTCTCCCAGCTTAGCCACACCTCTAGTCAGGTTTACTTGCTGGTTAATTGGAGATATTCTTACGGATATGTCTGCCTAGACTGGCTTTGAGCCTTAGTCCTCAGATGACAGCCTTCTGAGTTTTCTTGTGTTTTGATGGTGGCCATGTTACTGCTATGAAGTGACATTCCACTTGGGATTTTTAAAATTTTATTTATTTTTGGTCAGTTGTGGGGCTTGAACTCAGGGCCTGGGCACTATTCCCAAGCTCCTTCCTTTGTGCTCAAGGCTAGCTCTCCGCCACTTGAGCTACAGCACCACTTCTAGTTTTTGAGTGGTTAATTGGAGATAAGAATCACACAGGAGGGCTGGGAAGGTGGCTCAGTGGTAGAGCGCTTGCCTTGCATGCATGAGGCCCTGGGTTCAATTCTTCAGCACTACATAAGCAGAAAAAGCTGGAAGTGGCGCTGTGGCTCAAGTGGTAGAGGGCTAACCTTAAGCTTAAGAGCTGAGGGACAGTGCCCAGGCCCAGAGTTCAGGCCCACAACCGACAAAAAAAAAAAAAAAAAAGTCTCACAGGAACACTTCTGTCCAATCTGGCTTTGAACTGTGATCCTCAGATCTCAGCCTCCTGAGTAGCTAGGATTATTGGGATGAGTCACTGGCTTCTGGCTTATTTTTTTTTTAATTGTTATTATAAAGGTGATGTATAGAAGGTTACAGTTATATAAATCAGGTAATGAGCACATTTCTTTTAAGACAATGTCACCCCTTCCCTTGCTTGTCCAGTTTTTCTCTCCTGTCCCCACTCACAAATTGTGTTTTTTATTTTTTTGGTCATGGGGCTTGAACTCAAGGCTTGGGTGCTATCCCTAGGCTCTTTTGCTTAAGGCTAGCAATCTACCACTTTTAGCCATAGTGCCACTTCTAGTTTTCTAGTAGTTAGTTGGAGATAAGAGTCTCAAGGACTTTCTCTCCCAGGATGGCTTTGAACTGCAATCCTCAGATCTCAGCCTCTCAAGTAGCTGGATTTATTTAAGGATTATAGGCGTGAGCCACCAGTGTCTGGCCCCACTCAGTTGTATAGTTCATTTTCAATATAATTGTCTAGTGAGTACCACTGCTGCATTTCCACTTGGGTTTTAGAGATGGGTTTTTACTGTGTTGTGCAGGCTAATCTTTTCTACTTCTTTTTTTTTTTTTTTT